CATTCATTTTGATGCTTATTTACAATATCAAAAGTATTCACATTGCAATTTGTCTCAGTCTGGCTTTATCAATGGTCAGTCGCAAGTCATCTGGACTTCGCGAGCGCCTGCGCCTTTCTCTGGATAAAGATCTTGATCTGAAAGCAAAGAAATCAAAATAAAGTGCACATTTTTTTTCTTTTACAATGTAAAATAAATCATAATCTTGACTTATCTAAAAGGAACTGTCATAGAAAATACAAGCATACACAAAAAATTAATTATTTCAGATATATAATTATTAAAACACTAGGGTTTGAATAGAAATTTGTAAATAATTTTTTGGCTTGGCTTGTGTGCTTCGAGTTCTCAGTCACAAGGACACATGTGCATTAGTTTTTCATATGCTAACCTCCGACTATGACGTCTCTCCCAATCACGACCATCTCTCCTCAGTTTCTCATCATCTTTGTGTTGTCTTTCACTGCTTCTCCTATGGCGCCTATCAGTGTTATGACCCCTCCCATCATCTCTGCTTCTCTTTGACCGGTCTCTATCCCTGCTGTGTGATCTAGACCTTTTTGACCTTGACCTGTCTCTACTATTTGACCTTGACCTCTTTAGCCTTTCCTTATCTCTGCTGTGGGATCTTGACCTCCAAACTCCAGACTTTCTGTCAAAACCAGAGGGTGACTTGGACCTAGGTGACTGGCCTCTTTTAGGGGTTCTTGATCTACTAAGAGCAATGGGTGAAATAAAGTTCATATAGGCCCTTTCATTTTGCAGTATACTTATTAGTATCGCAATATTTTGACAGGTCTTAACAATAATTTCGCAATGTAATGACGCCATTTGGGGGGGGGGGTCTCCCTTTCACAAGTTTGCTTCCAACTATTGAAACCATTCAAAATTAATCCCATTAACTAACACACCATCTACCTGTCAGGCAAAAGTACAGAAGTAATAAAGATTACTTATAAAATGAGGAATCTTGAGAAATGAAATTTTTCAAACAAATTCTTATCTTGCAAACACAGCTGAAAATAAAAAGAACAGACCTAGACCTAGATAAAGGCCTGTCTTCTTTTTCTTTCTCCTTATTCTTGTTTTTCTTCTTTTTTTTCTTCTTATGTTTTTTCTTTTTCTTTTTGCTCTTTGACTTTGCTCCCTCAGTATCAATCTCTCCTTCTTCTAATGATCCGTCATTGTTTGAATCTGCTTCTCCAAGAGAATCTGACAAAAAATCAAAATCATCATCGGATGATTTTTCTTCAGACTTCTCAGAGTCAGACAGCTGACCTGGAATAAAAATACAACAGATTCAATGATTTTATTTTTTGATAAGAAATTGGTTCAAAAAAAAAAAATTAAATTGAAGTTTAAAATTTATAAACATCATGTTTACTTTTTCATATATATAATTCTGAGTGGGAATGACATACCCTCTTCCCAATTTTTCCTTGTTTCCTCGTCCATCCATTTTTCTCCAGACTTGATGAAGGCAGAACTAGAGTCTGAGATCTTTAAAGCAATACCAAGTTTTTTCTTGGGCTCTTGAGGTAGTATTTCTGTCTTAGTCTCTGCGAAAGTTTCCTGCTGATCTTCTTCTGCTTCCTGTTTGGGTTCTCTGTTAGGTGGGACAAAATTTTCTTCTCCTTCAACAGGCTCCATAGGATCTACATCAATGTTTTCATTTCCTTTTGAAACATCTTGTGTAACTTGTACAAAACTATCGTCATTGTTTTGACCAACAGTACAAGGAATGTCATCTATTTGAGCCCTTTTCCCATCCTCAGAAATATGTAGCCCTAAAACATCTGATTTTCTACTCTGAACTGTTTCTTTCTCATAGTTCCTAGATTCACTTTCAGATTTTGTATTCTCGTTGGTCCTGCTCTTTTTACTTTTATCTTCATGGGAAAAGTTTCTTTCATCATCTTCTGACATTTGTGAATCTTTACTCTTTTTACTTTTTCTGTAATGTTCCTTTCGTCCACTGTCTCTACGACTGTCTCTTTCTGTTGTATCTTCACTTCTATCTCTGTGCTTTCTTTTCTTTCCTTTCTCATCATGCTTGCTAGTCTGATATTTCTCGCTTGATGATTCTCTTTCTTTTTTCTTATCTTTGTGCTTATGTTTTCCCTTTTTACTCTTCTTTTTATCTTTGCTCTCTTCCTCTATCTGCCTATTCTCTTGCCTGTCTCTTGTTTTCTCTTGTTCTATCTCTAGCATTTTTTTAGTCAAAAACTCCTTGAATAAGTCATCCACAACCTTGGCTTGTTCTGCTTTCATTTGTCTCTCTCTTTCCAATTTTTCCAATCTACTGCTCTCTGTTTTATCCTCTGCATCATTTGTATTAGTCTCCTCATTCAACTTAGTTTTCACATGAACTGATATGGGGAGGGCAGGCTTCTGTGAAATCTCCGTCACTACTGCTGGGGTTGCAACTGAAGTGGTTGTTGGTACCACTGATGTGGACACTGAAGTGGAATTCTTTTTCTGTTGAAGTTCCTCCAGCTTTTTACGTATCAGTTTGATTGGCCTGGTTTTTTGCTTGTGGGATTCCTGTGGTGCACTGGTATTTTTGGGTAAAGGTATTTCTTCCACAGCAGAGGTTTCTATGGACCTGAGAAGTAATTTCAAGATGTAATAAAACTTTTGAAAGTACTCAATAAAAAAACTATTTAAATTTCTATGTGTAATTTATATTATAGGCATTAAGCTTAATGTTTGAAATAATAACTACAACACAAAGCTTCATATCCTTATCCATTTTGAATATGGTTTGAGACAATAGCAAATCTAAAATAAGGCCTATTTGGCAAAGGCACATCAACCTCATAGGCTGTCCGGTTAGCCAAGCTCACCAGAGGTAATAAATGCCATCACTTTTGTCTCCCAGGCACAGCTATTACAATAGTATGGGACTGTGAATTACTTCTAGGAAGTTGGAACTGCAGGATTATACTGAGTATACTGCCTATAGCAGGGGCGGATCCAGGCCTATTTACTGACAGTCTTCCAAATTATCTTTGTTGATTCATTCTCCAATTTTGACCGTCTTCCAACATGAAAAATTGGATACCCGTCAATGTAAACTTGGAAATCTGACCGTCTTCCGGAAGACCCAGAAGACGGCCTAAATCCGCCCCTGTATAGTGAGTTTATCTTTATCAGACTGTTATCAGCTGGCTGTAAATGTGCCTGCATATCTTTATCCTATAAGGTTTTGTGCATCAACTGGCAGAATAAAACAGTCATACTGTTGTTCAAATAACCAAAAACATCTTCAATACTAACCCCTTGGCTCCAGGTAATGGGATGCCTTCCACGTCCATTACTAAGTTCGTCCTTAGGTTAACTGCAGAATATAAGAACACTAGTTATGAACTGGTAGAGTGTGTGTGTGTGTGTGTGTGTGTGTGTGTGTGTGAGAGAGAAGGCATACATGTCAACTCTCTCGGATAATCCGTGAGTCTCCCAGATACAGAATGAATCTCTTGGTCTTTGAAAATTTCCACCACTGTCAGCTACCATCCTGTCACAACATACGGTAATGACTCGATCTTTTCAATGACCAAAAATTATCAGATACATCATTTTTATAACATTTGTGGTACTTTTAATACATAGAATAGAACTATAAGGTAGTGTGCTTTGAAATTTTGTTGTAACCACTCAATAGGAATGCTCTTATTTTAGGAAATTATGACTTAAAAAATACAGTATCTGTAAAATTCACAATTTTTCGACCCCCCCCCCCCCCACCACCTTCGAGTTTGAGGCTCAGAGTACGTGTTGTTGATCACAGTTTTAAATTATACAAAAACCCCACGAATAACTTACACGACATAGCAAAGTTCGCGGTGCCTTTTTAAAACTTGTGCAATCCTCCCTTTCTCAAACACAACGACATTATTGTGTCTCACGAACAGAAGGTTTTACCCCACATTCCTCATTGCTCATCGTTGTCGTTCATCCTCAGCGGTAGATCTACGGACAAGATCAAGGTCGACTTTTTATTGGACCAAATAACCACATGACGTCCCACCTCTAGTAAAATTCTCACTTTCACAGCTACCACAATGAGTCTTTGTACTGTGGTTTGCCCTTGAAAAAACTGATCAGTTTCCCCCTCCCTCCCAAAAAAGTATATTTATAAAATGAAATAAAGAAAGTACCCATAGCCATTATATTCATACCATCATTAATATATTTTTTCTACTTCCAGGCATA